TTTGCTGCCCTAAAACACTCTGTTCAGGCCACCTTGAAAATAAAGGTCTTGTAGCTACAATTCTGTTCCCAGGTATGGCGCGCATCAGGCTTCACAGACAGTGGAAATAGCTTCTTCCCGGCTTTGCACTGCGAATCAGCCCCACAAAAGCGCTGGCTTTCGTTTTGCAGCTTCTCAGGTTTGTAATGTATTGATGTCAACTGGATGATACATCGAGCACATAGGGGTGGCGTGGGCTTCAGCTGATCACCTGGGTGCCTAGTGCCTCAAATTGTTCTACGACCGTTGGAGCCAACAGTTGTCAAGACCTTTTGGCCACAGTTGATGGCAAAAATCCATCAGGCCACAGTTTTGGTGTAAGCTAGAGGATTGTATCGGGCAGTTGGACACATCTTTAACTCTCCCAAACAAAGTGGATGGACTTTCTTTAATGTTCAGCGGGGCTGGCAAATTTGGAGGCAATGGAAACATCTCTTGAAGAAAAGAACACAGTGGCTTTCATAACTACACTTGTGGGAGGATTGAATAATCAGAAGGACATCATGCCAAGAGTGGTGTTCAACTTGATTCAGAGGCAAGGTTGATGCACAGGAGCATCTACGAAACTGGACGTCCCTCCTTGAACCTAGCAAATTGATTCTTCTTGGTTGCACAGACAATCCTAGTCCGCTTTTCACGTGTCCATTTTCGTTGGGGTGTGTGGAACCTTAGCTCATTGTTCAAAATACATACAATCCAACAAGGGCCTTGCAGAAATCTCTCGACCCTTTGTAAATACAAGCCTTCAAAACGTCAGAGCCGAACTGAACGCATTTCTCCAGAATACGGGAAGAGCAAGAGAATCCACATCGATGACGCTGATGCATGCCTCAAGTTGATGGCATCTTTTGGATCGTGAATTTTGGAGACTGTAGGGGTCTCTTGGTACTAGTTTGTTGGTGGAGTTTGGACATTTAATGACATTTATAAAATCAGCCTGGAAACGTCAGGGACCAAAAGGGTCTCATTTGGGAGTCCCTTAGTTTAGACAGGAAACAACAACATAATAGTAAACATATAATAATAACAATAACACAAACAAAATGTGTGTTCACTAAAGAAAGATGTGATTCGCTTGCTTGTATTTTGTTTGTTCCGTTTCCTTTCTATTCGTTTCCACCCTTCATTTTGTACGCAATAATTGATAGTTACCTTTTGACCTGGCAGTTTCATTGTCCTTTGTTTGGAGTTGTGTCATGTGTCCTTTTTCTTCTCGTGACCTTCCTCCATGTTCTCACATGTTTCTCTTTTTCCAACACATGACGTAGCAAAATAGCAAAAGTACTACCCTTCAGTTCAGTTCAAGGACAATGGAAACTCGACGGGGCTTGTATGAAAAGACCACGCGGAAACACTTATGCAGAGATCCGGTAGGAACTAATGACGTAGCAGAAGATACACAACGTGTCTTCTCCCTGTTTTTTTTGACTTTGTTTTTCTTTGAGACTAACATGGGCCATATCAGACTGAGACCGCAAGTCGGGCTATGTTTTTGAGGGGCGGGTTTTGGTGCTTTCACACGCCAAAAGGGTGTGCTTTCTCTTGGTCAGGCCGCAACAAGGAGGTGCGATGTCGAGAGCGTTTCGGGCTGCGGGAGTCACCGGGAAGAGCGTCGCGGTACATGCAAGATCATTAGGAACAAGAAGCTAGTAGGGTTGGAGGCCATCGCTGCTAGGGTTGAGGCCATCGCTATTAGGTTGGAGGCCATTACTACTAGGAACAAGAAGCTAGTAGGGTTGGAGGCCATCGCTACTTGGCGTTTTGGACTGAAGAGAAAGGGCTTTTGCTGACAGCAGTTGACGTGTTTGACCATCTGTTCTCATCTTCCAGGATCCCATGTCAACGGAAGGCGATGTCGAACTCGGAATTGCTATTGGTTTCGAGGCTCTATTGGAATTGCTATTGGTTTTTCGAACTCTAAATGGAATTGCTGTTGTCACAGACATCGATTTCCATCACTGCGGTGCCTAAGCTGGCCGATGGCTGATGGCGACGCCTCCGGGAACCCTCCACCAGTTGGGTCAATCTCATGCGGCGGAGGGTTCCGTGGTGCGGTCTTCAGCGCATCTCGGCCAGGGGAAATTTTCGGCCGTGGCGCAGTTCTTTGGGCTTTGGCACGAGGTGCGAGCAGAAAGGGAGGATCGCCTGAGAAAGGGAAGGAATGTTCTCAGAGACGGCCGAATGGGCGAAACGGTGGACGATTCAAGAATATCAGTCTCGAGCAAAGGCAAATATGTGGGCGGAAGACCACCAATTCCAGAACAAACATGAAGGCTAGGACAGCGGACAGAGTCAGTCTTGCTTGTTGAAATTGGTGTGCTCCAAGGTGAGCGAACGCCACCTGCCCAACACCTGCCCCTTAGGCCCCAGAAGGAGTCGCTCTCTGAATCATGTTGGGTCGCTCTCCGCCTCGTCGGGGTCGCATTCCAGGCCCAGCGAGGTGCTCATCGTGGCATGCATGAGCTCTGGTGGGGAGAGCCAGGGCCCAACAAATGAAGAATCATGACCGATGGCCTCCATCATGGGTGCTCAGAGTAGTACAGTTGGATTGTCACATGCTTTTCTGCCCAGATCATCCGATCATCCAGGCGTCTTTTTTGAACTGTTTGGATCTGGAGATTTCGGCTCAAGACTCCACCCCATACTCTCCCATACTTCTCCCCAACAAAGAAGGTTGCTTTGCGCTTGGAAGTTGTTCTCTCAAAAGGTGGGAACCACAGCACCTTTGAGGTCACCCGGTACCTCCACTACACCAGGCATCTCAACTTCCCCCCTGAGGACCCAGATCTTCCTGGTGAACCTCCATTTCAAGGCCTGTCCCACGCATCGCTCACGGCCTGTCGACCACTCAGCGGCTTTGTCTCGCCCAGAATCCAAGATGGCTCAACATGGGTTCATCACATCCACAAGAAACTCCCAAAAGTGACGTCCCTCACCGGCACCCGAACCGAGCCCATACGCTCCGTGCAAAGAGGCAAATCATGAGATATTTATGAGATATGATATATATATATATACATAATGTATTATGATATATATGATACACACGTTTTTTGTCAAGTGTTCTCACGAGATTACATCCTCTCTCTCTAAAAAACAAACGAAACCGCAAAACCACTTACAATAAGATTGGTCCAAAAACTCGTCGAAATGAGAAGTGTTTTTTTTCTGCACTGGGTTGGTTTCAGGCAGCCAATCAGGTACAGATGGGAATTTCATGGGTTCACACAGATCTCAAAATATCTCAAAATGGTCCTGGAACCGATGCGTGTTCATCAACCTTCTTCGTTACCAAGGGTGCTGGTTGGATCTATTTGAAGATATTTTTGAGACACCCAGGAGACACATATCAGAGGGGCCTGTGTTTTTTCCTTGCAAAAACCGTCTCGTTCGATTTCAACATGTGCACGTACAGTACGTCCAATCGGGACCACAGGACCTTCACTCATTGAGCTAGCGAGTCGTTTCTCGGACTCCGAAGGCCGGTTACATTGAAGGCGACCGGGAGGTCGGGTGGAGGTCATTGGGGACGGGTAAGTCGGAAGGCTGGAGCTGGGAGCACGTTATGGGTTGGGTGTTGATGTTCTTTTGGCTGCGTTTGATGTGGATGGTAATTAGAATAAGCAATGTGATCATTGGGCGGTGGAAGATAAGAATAAGAACACTTGTATTTGGAAGATCTTTGAGTCCATAGTCATAGTCAAGCTGTTTCAGCATGATATATGTACAGTACCTGTAGCAGTCGAGGGTGTCCTACTACCTGTAACAGTCGATCAACAACTATATCAATCTATTCTAGAGTCCTAGAGAAAAGCCTGTGGGACCGTGGGACCTGGCCCCATCATCATCCAAAATGGGCCCACGGACTGGAATATACCGTATACAAAGGCTTCCTTCTTCGGCTTCGGTCATGGTGGTCTCAACCCACCGGGAGCGCTTTTGCGCAGAGCCCGAAGAAATTGGATTTGGGAGTTCGAGAATGCTCCACTCAAAAGCCTTTGCCTGGCCCACCACATGAATGGGGTGCTCACATTCGTTGGAAGCGAGCAGAGCACATGGAAGGTGGTACCATTTGTTGAACGAGTCAGACTGACAGACTCAGGAAACTGACAGACTCAGGCGCTGCCGCGACACAGTCGCATGGGATGTACATTCATTCGGATCGTTCGGAATGGGGTCACCCTCGTGGAGAAATGTGACGACGGCGGCCCGTCGCGCCGACGCCAGGCGCCTATAGCTTTGACAATCGATGTAGTGTGACGCCAGAGGCGTCGGGCTTTGAAGGATTTGGGTGGGTTTGAGATGTCAAGGGTTTCTTCGTTTCCAGTATTTGAAGCCTCTTCGTTTCAACATAGCACGCTGGACTATATATTGTATACATAATAGTGTTCCCTGTCAGTATCCACAAATGGGCAAGTGATGCACTTTCAATGTGCTTTCGGCAATTTCAAGAGAGAAATGAATACCCGCGTTTATATTCTCAGAATTTCCTTTGTATTTGTTCGATTCTCCTCCAAACAATTGATAGACCAACTCGGGTTAATACAAAGAATGATGTGTTGGCCTTGGTTGTAGCTAAATGTTGATCTTGGGGGGTCCTTGATCCTTGACCGTGAAACTGGAGTCGAATTCAAGAGAGACACTCTTCGGAATCTTATATTAAACATTGTACCCCCCATGATGCGTCACAGCTACAACCCAACATTGGACACCTTGATTCTTCAGGCTGAAGCTGATTTACTGATGACCTTCCCAGTGCACCAACTGGGTTTTCATTTTTTGAGCTGCGGTGTTAGTAAGTTAAACAAATACAGATAAATATTACACTTTCTGGAATAATCATGGAACTGGACACATCTGGAAACTTTTAATTTGGAAACCTTTTAATTTAGAAGAAAATGGTCGTTTTAATATGGAGGCCATATCCTCTTGGACTTCGATCTTCCATGAATCCAGGGAGTGTACATCGTAATCCCCAATGCTCCAATGGGACTGGAAGAAGGATTTGCCGCTCGGGGCGGTGTTCGCCAGTCCCATGAAGCTCTCTGGACCGGACGACGGGTATCTGACGGTATGGCACGGAAGCCGACGCCGATGAGGGCGTCAAGGATCGAGGATCAGAACTTGAAAAGGACCAAATGGGAGTGGGGAGGAGGAGTTCCAATGAGCGTTTCAATTGACCAAAACTTGTGGGTGACGCCAGACATCGGGGGCGAAGCGCCGTTCAAGGTGTCGGTGGTCGCTACAGCCAGGGAAGCGGACGCCAATGGCATGGACATCACAGATCGTTGCTTGGAAACCCTTTTTCTCAATGGAGAGTCGATTTAGCAGACCCCAAAGAACGCAACGATCCTTTGGTAAATCGATCGACATCCAAATACTGTACTCAAACCGATGGTAGGTTGGTGTGCGCCATCTACTCTGGATGCAAGATCAACAATTTGTGAGCCCCTGGTTCTCCATGTGCATCCATATATTCCTTGCTTCGTTGTGCTGAAGAAATACGTTGCGTCCCACACTGAGCACAACGCTATCACCCTGCGTGAACGCCGTGAAAGCGCAGGCCTCCTTGAAGGCAATTGCTTGCAACCCTGACGGAAAGTGCCTTAGATGAATCCAGGGTTATGAGTCAGTCATGAGTCAGTAGGAAGGTGGAAGGTGGGGACTGTAGGTATCAGTGTGCGCTCTGAAACAACATGAAGCCTTCCTTTCTGACTTGATAAGAGCTTATTTGCAGATGATAGAATCTGATTGATATGTTGACCCCAACCATATGTTGGTCCTGTATGATACAGAAGAAGCGCGTTCCGAGCTTCTTCCTCGGCATGGAAAGGAGGTTCTTAAGGATGACCGATGACCGATGGCTCCTGCATTGGATCGACTCGTGTGCTTGTCAGTATCATTCACTGCAGGGCGATTCCGGCGACGAAACAACAACTGCTCCATGTGGACCGGTATGATCTCTCAGGACACTGGACACTGCAGGATAAAAGCCTCGATGGTCCGATGGTCCGTTGGTCGATGTCGTTGTAGTTCTTCCAGTTTTCCATGACCTCGAGGGACTATGAGGGGTTTCACCAGAGGGCATAGGTTTATAAAATCGTCATGATGTAAACCATGTCAGGTGGGATGCAGCATCCAGGCACCAGAAATGATCCAGGCACAAGGCCTTGATCACCGATCTATCCGCCGGATTTTGGATCGTTTATTGACACCGTACCCAAGGCTGTGTGGAGTACCCAAGGCTGTGCCTTGCGGAAACGGAAATTCACAGATACGTAGCCAGATGTGTGGGGCCTGTTGAACCCACAGCACCTGGACCTGCAATGATATTGCTCAATATCACACTGTTTGATATCATTTTGATATCATTTACATTCAGTGGATATCAAATGATTGATATATATATATATTTACTGTATACTTCATTTGATATGTTTTGTGTTTTACATTTGTATAGATTGCAGGTGGAGGATTTTTGGTCGAACAGTCCTACCCTTTAGGATCGACACTTTCTATTCCCAGGCTACCTTGCTGCTCCAGTGGCGGCTGGTGCGGCCTCAGTCCCCAGCATTGCACCTGCAAGCGCTGCAGGGACTTTCGCAAGGCACAAGACTGAAAGGAACTGACTGGACCCTGACAAGCCAGCGGGTCTACGGGGTTTAAGGATGTTTGTATGCCTTGCAAGAGTTTTCCCCTTAGCAGGACACCAGGAAGTCCGGAACTCAACCCTCAGCAGCGGGGCAGCTCCTTTGGCCTCCACATGTTTATTGAGTAATGGAAGAATTCCTGATATCAAAGGCTCATGAATTGCGCCCTGGGGCAGCTAGTCGATATTTTGAAGACTTGACAGTGCCAAAGCTGACTTGAGCAAGAACCCGAGTTGTGCTCAATCGGTTGTTCGAAGCTCTGCAGATTCTGCCGAACTATCGGCACCTTATGCCTCCCAATGTGCGGCTCTTTTCCTCTGAGGCCTTGAGACGAACGGGGGAGACGAACTGAGAGAAACGTGTAGTCTCTTCTTGTTTAAGCCCGCTCCCCCCTCGATCCTTAATGAAGTAGGCGCCTATTTAATTAAGGGAGAAGTAGCTACTAGCTACTACTACTAGCTACTACTACCACTACCACTACCACTACCACTACCACTACCACTACCACTACCACTACCACTCCTACTACTACTATTACTACTACTACTACTACGACTACTACTACTACTACTGCCACTACTGCCACTACTACTACTGCTGCTCCTACTCCTACTCCTACTCCTACTACTACTACTACTGCCACTACTACTGCTACTACTACTACTGCTACCACCACGCTACTAGCTACTTCAAGGAAGCTCCCTCCGCCTGAGGGCGGAGGGCGGGGGGGAGCTTCCTTGAAGAAGTGCTCGCACTATTTGTTTATTTGGTTCCTAGTTTTTTGGAGACTTAACTTAACTAATATATTAGACCTCTTTCTTCACATAGCGCCTACTTAAGATGTTGCATGCCAGACGTGATGGGTCAAGCGAGTCTGTAGCGAGTCTGTCGGACACCAGGTCGGTCGACCAGTCTCCGTGTTTTGATCCACAGCCACATGCCAGGGATGATGAACATCTCCGTCTGTCAGACGATGTTTGTGTATGTCTCGGCCCTAAGTCAGGGAGCTCCTGGCAATCCTATAACGAAGTCAGTGAATGCACTGGATCCGCCCGAACTGGTATTGGGTGTGCATCAATTATCTTGTAAGACTTTATTCTCCATCCAAGTTTGCACGGATGTCGCAGGCATCGCAGTCTCAGATCTCACCCAGAGCAGAACTGTATTTTTGTTGGTTCGCTTAAGCAGTGCGTCGGCGAAGCAACTTTGCAGGGTTCGGCGGAGCAATACTTCACCGGTTCCCGACCCCTTCACATCCGTGCACCAAGAAAAACGAAACAAATTGTCCCGGCAAGACCCCAAACAGTGTGTGTGAGGTCTGCGCCTTTGAGGTTCACAAAGTACTGCGCCTGCTACGATATCTGCATCTTGAGGTTCACAAAGTACGGCGCCTGCTACGAAATCTGCGCTTCGAGGTTCACAAAGTGCTGCGCCTGCCACGCAATCTGCACTTCGAGGTTCACAAAGTGCTGGGCCTGCCACGAAGTCTGCACATCGAGGTTCACAAAGTGCTGTGCCTGCCACGATATCTGCATTGTGAGGTTCACAAAGCGCGTGCCACGAAAGCTGCACTTCGAGGTTGGCAAAGTGCCGAGGTTCACCAAGTGCCGTGCCTTCCACGAAATCTGCACTTCGAGGTTCAGCGGTGCCTGCCACAAAATCTGCACTTCGAGGTTCACAAAATACTGCGCCTGCTACGATATCTGCACTCCGAGGTTCACAAAGTGCTGTGCCTGCCACGAAATCTGCAAAAGAGCTACATGTCCAAAAGTCACGATTCACTGCACCTGCCACGAAATCAGAGCCCCGATGATCACCACTATGTCCAAAGTGCTACGCCTGCCACGAAATCTCAATTTCGAAGTAAAACCGCTCCGATCCCTTGCACCTGTCACGAAAAATCGAAGGGCTGTCCTTTGCCCAACCCGGAAGAATCAGAAGAGGACGAGGCAAACAGATTTTGGGGCAGGGGAACGCTTCTGATACGCTTTCTCCAGCAAGTGAGGCGGGGGATTGCAACGTTTTTTCCCTGTGTGATGATAGATTGGTTCATTAATCTAGGGTGCCTATATGCAGCGTGGATTGTTCAGTTTTTAAAGGCATGGCCGAAGCGCATCCAGAGGGAACGGACGAGTTCTTGCGAGCTATGCTCCTTGAAGGCCCGTTCCCGCAAAGTAGCCGCTACGCGTATTTAAATTGTCTCGCCCGGGAATACGGCGCCGATGCGCCTCCCGGCATTGCACTCCCGCCGGTGCCCCAGCGCTTTCGCAAACGAAAGCACGTTTGCAGTGCCCGCTTTTGCGCACGGAGTAGCCACCCAGATTTTGCGAGCCTGCGCAGTCGAAAGTCACGTCGACGATTAGCCGTCCACGCCCGCGTCATCACCTCGATCTAGCCCCTGTGCTTAACTACTACCGTAAGAACTCCTAAAGTGGGTCCACACTGTTGGCGGAATTTCGCTGGTCCTTTGGAGTGAGGTAAAGGCCCATCCCAGACATGACGACAGATGGGCCGGCATATTGACCAACCTCTTGATCCGATCTTAAACATGTAATCCAATGTAGGTATGCCAGACATTGCCAGGCATGGACTGTTTGGGATAGTGTTGGAAACCGTCAAGATGGGTGTGACCCCAGGACCAAGAACCCCATTGACCTGGTCACCAGTTGCCAGGTTATATTAGTAACAAATCTCTATAAATGAGCCCCGAAATAGAAAAAACGAAGACCCTATGGTATACCAGATCTTGATTAAGACCTTTTCTCTCTTGACGGGACACCACCGTGGGACGACACCACCGAACGCGGGGCAGGACTTCACAGTGACACCCCCAGCGCGTATTGTGTCGAAACTGCGGGCAAAAGAAGAAAGAAAGGAGCTGGCGACTGGGGATCACCTAGCCAGGAGTTCAGATGAGTTTGGGTGGGGATCACCTGCATTCAGCGGTGTGGGGGAGATTGGAGATATCTTACTATATCTTATACACAAGAACAGGTGGACGTACCGTCGTCATTCAGGTAAACCGAGGGTGTCAGTGTGTGATCCCCATGCTTTGTCGGCATCTGTTCAGGGTTCGCCGCTGCAAAAATGGTGTCTTTGGGACTCATTTTGGACCGGCTCCCAAAATTGAAGCGAAGATCTCATCAGGAAGCATCGGGTTTGCACATTACCTTCTTTTCGGGGTGAAAAACACATGGGTTTCCGGCAGATGGTCACTTAAACCGTTTTCTGGGAATGGTGGTGGGTGGAAAAACTCAGCAACATTAGGGAAAATGTGACAGCGGTGAAGAAGACGGGCCGAAGGAACACAAGCAATACATATATATAGAAAAGTACAAGGGGGTGATCGTCGGAGCAGAAGATGAAAGGTTTCAAGGTGTTGCAAGGCGTTTTTTCTATGTAATTTCTGGGTTTCCACCACTAAGGTGTGCTCAGGGTAGTTCGACCGTCGCCAAAAGTCTCTTCAAACTTCTCAGGAGCTAGTTGGAGCCCCCAAGGGGATGACCAAACGCTTCTTCTTCCTCATATATGAAGGGGGTTGAGACCTTCAAATTTGTAAGGTTTTGATGGACCTAAACAGCCTGCTTGGTGCATTTGGTCTGGAAGAATGCTTTCCCAATCGACCGATCACCTGCCGGGCTCCAGTCGGCCCGGACCTGGATCCGATCATGGCGATCGCTTGCGGGCCTCCAGGAGCGTCGCGGTACGGAATGGGAGAAGTCTCCCCAAACTGCCTGGTAAGCCCCTGTCTCATCCAACAAACATAAAACATCATTTCCACACATTCATAGAACGCAACAGACCAAAGATTATACTATAACAACATCACCTTGGTTTTAGGGGCATGGCAACCCTTGATAACCCTTGCGATTTAAGAGTTTTGCACGAAAAGAGAGCAGCAGTTTCAACATATTCAAAGTTTGCGCGCTTTTCGTTTGCACCAGGTGTGTCAACGTGCCCAGGAGTGAATTAAGCCCACCAATTGCTGTAGATCACTCCAGTGCCCCTAGCCCAAGTATCCATGTATGGAATGTGTTTACCCACATTCACCCTTAGAACACACAAAAAAAGGAAACACCCTACATTGTAGGCCACGGCAGGACGCAGGAACTTCCTGTCCCAATCGGAAGGGCTCCGGGGCTCCGCACTTGTAGACATCGGAAAGAACCTTTTTGCTACCAAGAGAGGTTGAACAGCCCTATAACCCATCCCATATGTACCACTACAGGTCCTAGTTCAGGTCTCTCAACCTCTCTTGGCAGTGGGTGCCCCTGTCTCAGCCTGTCTTCCTCGCCGCCCGGATCCGGGACCTTCACGCCACGAGACACGAGAGAGAGAGAGAGAGAGGGTGACGGTCCAGCGGGCGATTCAACGTGACCGAGTTTGGGATCTCAAGGGGTCTAGCGGATCGAAGGTCCAGCGGATCGAAGGTATGTTGAAAGACCGATTGATGTTGGAAGAAAACACGTGGAAAACCCATGAGTGTCGATCTGCATCATGTCATGTTGCCAGGTTGAATTCACCTCCCCCTACCGCTGGGGAACCCGCCGCCAGGAGCTTTCAGGACCTATCAGGGCAGACCCGTCTCCACGGGCTCGGAGCGCCCAGCCGGCGCCCATGTGGTGGACTCACAAGAATCGCCGGTCGTCTCAGTCGTCAGTGGCGGTCCCAGTCCCTGAACTTCGGTCGCCACCCCATGTCTCTTTGGGAGTGTGACACTTCGCTGAGAACGGTGGGGCTTTGCAGGATGTGAGACATGTTGCTCAAGAGACACAGTCACAGTCATGGTTGATCACGTGTGGTGGAAATACAGACAGCCAGGCAGGCAGACAGACAGACAGAGCCACTTGACTTGGGGCGAGAAGGGAGTCGGGTCACTTGGAGATGAGATGATTCAGCCGTTCAAAAGGGCACATCGTTCGTCACACCTTTTTTCACATCCTCCACCCTTTCCCAACATCCTCCACCTTGTTTTCTCGTTTACTTGTTCTCTGCGTTGCAAGGAGAAGAAGGCCAGCACATCAACGCACATCATCATGGTGATTGACACCAATAGGGGCCCCCATTTCATGTGAAACGCATTGGTGAACAGGTCGAAACAAACATTGATCAAATTGCCTCCTGGACAAAAGAATGCGGGGTCACGTACTAGTACGTGTCACTATGTACATGCATAATATATATATATATAATTGTGTCATAAACCCTGGACATGCAACATCCTAGAGGTGAATCTTCAACATGGCTTCAGGTCCAGTTTGCCTCTCCTAAAAGCTCCCTCCCTCTCTCCCCTCTTCTCCCGCGGCGAGGACCGCCCTGTCATCTGTACGAGCGGCGTTGAAGACCGGTCCTCAGTGGAAAACAGGGTGATCTGAGGGAGATTGGATGATTTTGAGGGAACTTGGCCCAGGTGGGTTCGCTTCTTCTCGCAAGTGCTGGATTGTTGGCCCAAGTCAGCCCACCAGTTGGGTTGCCCTGGGTGTGAAAGCCCGATGTCGTCATCAAAGAGACAAAGATTTGAACTCGTCGCTCACAAGAATTAACACATGGTTCTACAAGTTTAGTGGTTTACCTTCTTGTCGATCTCAGCTTGGCTATATATCTGATTCTACTTTAGTGTGTTTGTTTCAACTAGTTCCATGCCAAAATCACCAAGCTCATCATGGGAGGAATAAATTTATGAAGCCTCAGGAAGGCCAATTAGACCCTGACAAAGGTTTGCTGCTGACCCGTATTCAGACTGACTGAGGATTGGTGGATACGATACTTGGGGTCAATAATAACAAGAATAACAAGCAGAAGAGCCCTAGTAGAGGAACATGTTCTCATCAATCAAGTTTCCAAGTTTCAGAAAGGGCACACTTTGGATTGCCATAGAAAGCACAGCAACAAATATTTATTCAAATGTACAGTGTCCGAACCAATCCTTATGGGAGGGCCATCCTGCATCCTTCCCTTTGGTATCCATGAGTATCTCTTCGACCTTCATGTTTCTTCAGGGTCTACATGGGGTGCTAGGCCAGCGGATTCGACTCCGATTGGCGGCCATCCCAGAATTAGTTTAGGGATGATAAGGATGCTTAAGGAAACATTTACAGGAAATCCATGGTTTTGGGTTTCCTGCAGATCTTCCCTATCCAACCCATTCATTGACCCCTTCCAGCTGCAAACATACTGCAACCTGCCGCTTCGCTCGCTTCCTTTTGACCCCAGGCGATCGAAGGAGATCTGCCGTTCCATGCGGAGGCGAAGCTCCGCGGCGGCGTCGGCGGCACATGGACCGGACAGAAGAGTCACGGTGAGACTGGGATTATTATCATGATTTATACATGGATGATTTTAGTGGAGAAATTCATCCTGCGGAGTGGTCGTGTTTCTGCAGTGGTCGTATCATTTGTCCAAGTCCAAGATGATTGAACCATTCGAAGACGATAACCATTGCGATACCTTAGTGATAGCCATTTTTGTTACATGAAGGGCCTGGGTCCAGGGATAGACCCACCAACCTAAATATAGAGAGCACCTGGACAGAGACATCCTGCATCCATTTTGGAGCCTGTTGGGAATGGATTCCAGAGTCATGTTGAATCTATAAACCATGCTGATTCCACAAAAACATGGAAAGCGATAGGGCCTCCCCCCCAAAACGATAACTTCCACTCTTGCACCAGTCCGAGTTCACTTGATCTTGACGCCGCCTCAATATAGCATTTACTACAGCAGCACACTAGCAACCCATCAATCCACCGATGATCTTGAGTAGGGAAAATAAGGTTGGAGACTGTTCGAAGAGAACATCGTTGATTCTCAGAGCGCAAGCTCATGGTTGCGACCTGCTCAGCAGATTTCTTTCCAGACCTGGAGTTTCACACCATGGAGCTCCAGTCCCGTTGTGTTCCAAGCGTTTGGACCCCTGGTCGACCGTCCACAAGGCAGCTAATTGACTGGATCAGCCGTCGACCAAAACGTCTCTTGTCGTCGCCAGGCTTCTTGGGTGCCCGGTGCTGGTGGGTGCCATCACTGCCCAGATCACCTTTGATGGAGGTATCCTTCCTCCAGGCCTATGTGATGACATCCGACCAGAAATGCGATGGACCAAAAACACGGTCACAAGCAGAAGTGCTTCCCATCCAAAAGGGCCAGGGAAGACGATCTAGATCTACACCTGGGAAATTTAACATGGAACCTGAAAATGGACCAGCCTGGAAGACGATTTACCTCTACAACCCAGTGGTAAAAGGGCTGGGTTGATCTGTTCCTTTTTGTTCCACTGAACAATCCTGGTGAGTCCCTCCCACCTTGCAGCTGTGCTGGAGCCAAGCTGTGCTGGATTTTTGGGGGTTCCTGGAGCTGCAAGAGGCCAGTTCCTCGAAGATTTCGATCCACCATGGTTTTATTGTACTAGACTAGTTACTAGACTATATGCAATCTGTCACGCAGTGATGATGTATTTTGACAAATAGAAACAGGGAGGAACCATGTGACGTACGGTCGAATCCACGTGCCATTTTGGCTCCAAGTGAGGGGCCCCCCCGCACTCTTCGTTTTTCAAGCCATGGAGCTGGAAGATGATTTGGCCCCCATGCAAGGGGGAAGCAACGCGGGGGGGCCCATCGTGGTGACGGATGATGAGGGCACTCCAATGGAGGTCACACAGGTGGATGCCACCCAGGAGTTCGAGCAGGTGGGGAACATCCATGAGATGGCGGCCAGACTCAAAGAGCTCGAAAGCATGCGAGCTGAGGACGTTCGCAATGGGGAGGGCGACAGATCAGGATCCCCAACGGAGGTCATGGATGTCGACTCCAACAGCGACCACGAGCAGGTGAAGATGAGCCCATTGGAGGCCCTCAAGAAGTTGGTCGAGAACATGAAGGAGGCAAAGCAGGCGGAGACACCAGCTGCAAGTGATCCCATCGTGCGAGACGAGTACGAGATGGGTCGCTCTGAGATGCAGAAGCTGAAGTTCCACGTTCCAGGCGAGCTCAAGATGCCATGGGAAAGAGGCTTCACAGGTCTTGTGCTGGATCGAAAGTCGTCAGTCATGGAGACCAAGTTCCTGGACGAGAAGACGAGGGCACCGCATGCGATCCAGGTCGACGAGGAAGTGCAGCCCGAGATCAAGAAGGTCGAGGAGGCATGGAAAATGGTGCCGAGTTTCAAGCTCGATGGGAGTCAGCGGATGCCATGGTCCAAGGCCATGGAGACAGAGAGAGAGAAAGTGATGGAGGGGTGGAAGATCGTGATCGACGAGGCCAGGAAGTCGTGCAAAGCAGCGGGCATGCTCGATCAGTCCGGTGAGTCAGTACTCGAGGACATCTTCGCGAAGAAGAAGAACGGGACACTACAAGTGAGGCTGAGCGCAATGATGATCTACATCAGGTGGGCAAGAGCCAAAGGTCTTCCACCCTTCCCGGTCGGCGAGGCCCAAGTGTATCAGTATGTTGATCAACTTCGGAAAGACGGAGCGCCGGCGACTTGTGCAAACAGCTTCAGGAGTGCATTAGCTTTCTGCAACGGGACCATACAGTTGGAGGGGGTAGACGAGATCCTGCAGAGCGGTCGCATCACTGGTTCAGCACACAGAAGTTACCTCACGAAGAGGGTGCTGAGGCAGAGGGACGCGTTGACGGTGTCCCAAGTGTCGCTGCTTGAAATAGTCCTGGCAGGAGAAGGCTTCCCCCTCCAAGATCGAGTGTTTGCTGGACATTGCCTGCTATGTGTGTATGGCAGGTTGAGGTTCGGTGACAGCCAAGGCATTGACTCTGAGCCGACGGTCGATGGAGGGTACCTCGAAGGTGGCACGAGCATTCACAAGACAGACGCACTGGTTGGCAGGGCGAGGAGAGTGCTCCCAGTGGTCGCACCATGCCAAGGTGTGACAGGTGTGCAGTGGGCGGAGGAGTTGCTCAAGCTGAGGAACATGTCTGGTTTGAGAGCACTGCCGGGACGCCCATTCCTACCAACACCAGTGCCTGGAGGCGGGTGGAGTCAGGCAAGGTTGTCGACGCCTGAGGCATCCATCTGGTTGTGCGAGATGCTGCAAAAGTATGCCATCTACCCCCAGAAGTTGGGGGATGTTGGGGCTCACTCCATGAAGGCAACGGCCCTGTCTTGGCTGGCAAAAGCCATGGCCCCAGAGAAGGTGCGAAGGCTGCTGGGATACCATGTCAAGCCGAAGGACAAGAGTGTGGTGATCTACAGCAGGGACGCGTTGGCCGAGGGACTGGACATCCTGACGAATGTGATCACAGACATTTACACAGGCAAGTTCAAGCCGGACGCGCCCCGGAACCAACGGTGGGTCAAGTCACCGGTCCTCCCAAGCGAGGAGGATCACGAAGTAGAGCCAGATGGCGACGAAGAGTTGATCCCTGAAGGTCATTGGGACATGCTCGAGGTGAAGTCGCCAGGCAAGCCGATCCACAGGTTGGTGGAACTGGCTGAGGTGACAAGTGAGAGCAGTGAAGAAGAGTCGGAGGACCGCGAGAGTGAAGATGAGAGAAACCTCGAGGCAGTCGTCACGGCCAAGCTCGGGCCACCAAAGAAAGCCACAGCAGAGCTGTATAGGCATGGTCTCACAGGTACTGTGCATAGTGGAAGTGTGACCCCGGGCAAGTTGGCGTGTGGCAGAATGATTTCCGCCGTCATGGTGAAGTTGGACTATGAAGTCCACGCCTGGGGAAGTAAGTGTAAAGTGTGTGAAGGCTACACAAGGTGAAAGACGCGCCGCAGTGAGCAAAAAGTGGGTCGATGTGAGGCCGGGGGGGGGATCGAAGATCGGATGTCGCAAGTGACCTTCGTAGACCGGCCAAGTGATGCATGGAGTATGCCGCAGGGAGTTGTTCCCAAGTGCATTTGACCTGACACCGGGTAGTCCGGCCAGGTCAACTGGAGCAGGGTGGTCCTGCAGAATGAAGTCAGGCGCCAAGGACTGCCGGAGCGAGCGACGCGCGTCGGAAAGCAAGTGTGGCATAGGACGGTGTGAGGTTAGAGAGTCATCGAAAGAGAACAGTATGTGTGGTCTGGAGTTGTGAGGTGCAGCAAGTGAGTTGTGAGGTGATGCGAACGCCGGAGTGACACAAGGCCCGAGCATTAGTGGTGAACACCCGAGCGGAGCCATGGCGACGTTGACCGAATCCCAAGCGGTCTTCGAGGCGAAGCTCAAGGACATGGGGCTCGAGGGCTACAAAGATGAGATGACACGCAGAGGTTGGACGACGATGAGCACCTTTGCGTTTGCCAGCAGTTGGTCGCCTGGGTCAGGAGATGATCAGGCATTCATCCAACAGGTGGCGCGGCCGCTGACTGGGGCAGGAGACCATGCAGACCTCCCGAAGTTGAGGAAGCTCTACCATGAGGCCTACACGATCGTGGCAGCTGAGCTCCGTAGCCGCCTGGAGGGGACCCAAGAGGCAGACGGGTCGAAGACCAGGAAGCTGCCACCGGTGGAGCGGAAGACACGTTGGGCTCAGCTGAAGGCGATGTATGGGCACCTTCAACTGACAGACCAACTGGAGCCAGCGCATCATGTCGTCGACAAGTTCCACTCGATGCGAGTTGAAGGCGAGCTGAAGTACCTGGCACCACACGAGATCCCGACAAGAGATCAGGAGCTGCAGAACGTGGAGACTGAGGAATTGATCAAGAAGGATGCGTCCGGGCACTTGAGGGCCCATGATGAGACCAAGTTGCCAGAGGCGGACACCCGCACGGACCTGAGGCTGAGGCAAGCCTACACGAGGCGGGGCCTGGCATTGGAGGTTGCTGATGTCATGAGCTTCACTGCCCATGAGCGCCTGATCGACAAGATGTTCCAGGAGTATCAGCGGGAAGCACCGATGGGGTACATGGCGGTGACGCTAGCGCAGGTGGCAGCAGCAGACCGCAGGGCATGGAAGCTGATGTCAGAAGAGCTCCAAGGAGACCTCGGCAGAGATGCCACAGGAAGGCGCTTGGCAGATGCCGCCATCGACCGGGTGATAGCAAACCCGGCGTTCATGACCCTGTTGCTGCCATTGCCGGGCAGTAAGAGCAGCACAGGGAAGGACGAGGCTACGCATGCGGCAGAGCCATCAGCGCCGGGGGCAGGAAAGAGGAAGCTGATGAAGGAGAACCTCAAGCTGAAAGAGAGGCTGCGCGAGGCGGAGACCAAGAAGACGAAGGCAGCGCCAGCCGATGCGGGGCCGAGTAAGGCAGTGGCGCCAAAGAAAATGCCCATCAAGATGCCGAGAGAACTTTGGGGGTTGTCCCCAATGAAGCAAGGAGAGCGCATCTGCTATGGCTACCAGCTGGGCAACTGCAACAGCGGCAAAGACGGAAAGTGCTCGAAGGGATTGCACACCTGCATGAAGTGTTGGAAGCAAGGCCATGGTGCCATGCAGTGCACCCAGTGACCTGCAAAAGCAGGTGAGAGGCCGGCATTGGAGTGCGACGAGCCGGCGCGAGCACAGGAATCAGAGCCCATCAGGAGAGCTGAAGAGGGCTCCGCCCCATGTACAGAAACTTTTCAAGAACCCGGGAGCAATCCCGGCAGGCTGAGTGAAAACGCAAAGGGCGTTGTGCCCCGGACGTTTGAGTTGTTTGCCGGGTCGTGCAAGTTAAGTAAGTGTTTGAAAGCTCATGGTTTTGCCGCCGTAGGCGTAGACCATAAGAAATGCAAGCACAGAGTTGGACCTTGTATAGTTTTAGACTTGTCACGTAGCACTAGTGCAGACTTCATTGAGGCTAAGGTGAATGAAGGAGATGTTTTCTTCATACCTATGGCACCGCCGTGTGGTACGGCGTCACGTGCGAGAGACAAACCAATACCCGCCTGGCTCCGGCGGCAAGGAGTGCCGTCGCCACCACCACTGAGGAGCGTGCAGTACCCTAGTGGGCTTCCTGACCTACACGGAACGGACCTGACCAGGGTGGAGTTGGCAAACGCATGCTATGCCACAGCCGCACGAGTCTTCAAGTATGGTCACTCTAAGGAAGTTTACGTGTTCATCGAGAACCCAACCAATAGTTACATGTGGATGGTCCCATGCATTGCGGAGTTGTTCCAGCTTGCAGGTGTGCATTTTACCACATTCCAAGTGTGTATGCACGGAGGGGAGAGAGACAAGAAGACCTCACTCCTCCACAATTGCGAGCAACTGTGTCAGTTGGGCGTGATGTGCGACAAACAGCACACGCACAAAGGGTGGTCCGTCAGCAAGACACTCAATGGAAAGTGGCAGTACGACACAGCTAGCGAAGCCGAATACCCGTTGTTGTTATGCCAACGCATTGCAGCCATTATCAGTCGGAGGGCATGTGAACGACAACTCCCAGTCCACCCTGAGCCTCGGTCCACCCCGCTTGCCCACCAGGCATCCACCACCTGGAGGGTGGCAGCCGGCAAGCAGCCTAAGGGGCGACGTGCCCAGCCAATGTTGCCGGAGGATGGACAAGTGGTGGACCTCATCGTGGACAAACCCCGCGATGTAGCCAAAGTTTTGGCCTGGAGTGGCCGATCCAAAACCACGGTCGCCCTAGCCGACCTAGTTTTCCCAGAAGGCACCAGAATTGTTCGCCATTTACCGTCCAATGAGGGGGAAGACCACGGGGACGGGGCAAGCAGGTCAGTAATTTTCGGCATTCCCATGACACCGATGGAAGCAGTCCGGAGAGCCCAGCAGTTGCAACACCCGTTTGACACAGCATTTCAGACGCCAGAAATCCAGTTTCGTGGCAGTGGGTGGTTTCATGGTGGTGGGTGGTTTGGCTTACCGCCCTTTGCTTTCCGTCTTGGCACCCACATAATTCACTCAAGCTTTGAGGCATTGAGATGCCGTGACTATGACACAAACATTGACATGCTTCTCACAAGACCTGTTTCCATGCAGCCATGCTCCTATACGGAAGACGAGTGTCTCGTAAGAGTCCTACAAGAGTGTCCCGTTAAGGCGATACTATACACCACGGCGATACTATACACCCGTGGTGTATAGTATCAATAAGTCATACTTCACAACGTGTGATTATGATGGTGTTTTCAGATCAATATAATTGCCGCCGTGCCGGCATGTTTCTTTGGCTCCTGGGTTGGTTGACAATGGGACTGAAGGACCCGTCGTTTGCTGGACAACGCTTGGGTGGGGATGGTTGTTTTGATTTGCGGCGGGCTTCTGCTACCAAGTTGAAACTTGAGCTTTCATCCTGGCACACGGCGCACGTGTTCCAAAGTGTGTTGGAGCAGGCAGTCACTGCTGCTGCTGTTACAACATGATTGTTCGGATTGTTTGGTATCTGTTGAGAAGAAGGGCTCAATACAAATCAGCTGGTTGCAGTGTTGTTGACAAAACAACATAGAGGGCAGTTAATGTTGATTTTTTTTAGCGCCGGCCTGTGTGGCAAGTTGCCACTCTCTGTGGAGTGCATGATCCTGGTTCAATTTCAGCATCACTGACTGGCGTGCACCCTGGCCACTGACTACCCATTCAAGTCCGGGCCTCGTTCTGGAGTGCATAGTTCGGAGTTCGAACCGCACCAAACCTCACAGTCAGTCAGTTGTGCTATGTAGTTCAATACAGGGGTTCGTGTGTGGATGTTTTTTCCTGGAAACAATTTAGATGCCAGACAGAATCTGGATGCCATGTCACTGATCGTTGCTAACCATGTGGCAGTCAGGCCTGCAGTGGTTCGACTACATTCGGCTTGCCAATAGCTTCTGGTGACTGGATTAGGCGTGCATTTTGAAATGGAAGGTGAATCATAATTGCCATCAGTCATTCTGGGCAGGTGCTTGGCCCTGGCGTTTCAATCTCCCAGTGCTGAGTCCGAAGGATAGCTGTTTATGTTGACTTGAAGTTGACGTGAATGGTCAAGATTGGATTGTCTAATTTCAGTGGGAAGGAATGGAATTGATTGCAGTAACATTCTCTGTATGATTTTTTGGAGTTGCATGCGCCCACTCACACCTTTGGCCTTGCTTGGATTGGGCAGGAGGGGTCTTCGTGCTCGACATCGTATACATCAGGTGTTCCCGGCGATCTTCAGCAAACTAGCCGTGTCTTGCAATCCGCAATCGTCCTTTGAGCGTCTACTACCAAATCTTGAATTACTCTTGGCAGTACGCGCCTTTGACATTGATTTGCGCAATGCGTCGTTGTTTTAGGTTCAGGGGGCGACTGTCAGGGAAATATCAGCAGGAGTTGACATGAAGCGGCCAGCTGCCATGAAGCGACCGTCAGCTCGCAAGCGTCCAGCTACCTCGGAGAGTCAGAGGAGACATCAATGGGTTCGTGGGCCAGTTGTTCATGTTTGGTTTGCTGAGGGTTAGGATAATAGACTTTGATATGTCTGAGGACTATTTTCATGATGATTATGACGATGTCGGTGATGATGATGAGAATGATTATGTTTCTGATGTTGATGACCCTGATCAGGACACACAATGATAGTGATGCCAATGATTAATGATGAGACTAGTATTTTTGTCAGTCAGATGTCGGCTCAATGCCCTTTTTGGGAGGGCGCATTGGCAGCGTAGTTGCGTTGCCATCATGGGCTCATGTTTTATGCCTCAGATGGTGAGGATGAGCCTGGACAGGTCAGTGCGTCTGACCCAGCCTTGCCATCGGAACTGAGTTTCTTGACCAAAGCGTGTTTCTGCAAATACCGTGAATGCTTCAGGCAGTTCAGGGGACAGGCTTCTGAACTCAAGAAAAAGCGGGATGAGTTCCAAACCCTCGAGCCACATGAGAAGGAAACTTGATTTAAGGATTGGTGGCAGTTTTATTTTTTGGGGAAAGTAATGACATATCATAGGACCAGTCAGTCAGTGTAAGTCTTTTTTTCGTGCGACGGTTCCCGAACCAGGAAGCATTCTTGACGGAGACTTTCAATTGTGGTCAGAAAAGGCTTCAAGAGCACCAATTTGCCATACAAGACGCGTGTGTCCCTGAGCCTGACTTTGAAGCGACTGATTCCGATTGCCAAGAATCTGCCGATGACAATGAAGGGTTTTTGTTGGAAAGTGATTCAGGGCACTTCTACGCTTCAGATGCGGAGGAAGCCAGGCCAACGGCTGGCAGCCGCAAGAGGGCTTACACCGACCGTAGGACAGAGAAAATTCGGATCTTGGGCAAAACAGTGTGTTGGAAAGCTGGAGCCAGGCTGATCGGCGTTGGGCAAACTACACTGAATAAACTCCGGAATGGGGAGGCCATTTACACACAGAAGGCCAAGGTGAAAGCTCCGGTCCATCCGGAGTTTGGGTTCGCGATGCGTGGAGACATCGCCGAGAAGTGGCCATCCATAGTGATGTTTCTGTGGCTTGTGTACCACTCGGCAGCAGAATGCATGCCCACTCCCAACTCTACCCACGCCCTCAAGCCCAAGATTCTGCAAGAGGCTGCGTTTGTGGAAGATCGGGAGCCAGATGATATCACCAGACACGTGAACACATTTATGAACTCCTTGGAGAAGTATCAATCTGACATCAATATCCATATGATCGGCCCAGGGACGTTTCGTGGAGAACGGCGCTACCTTCAACACAGCTCCCGGTCTGAGTTATATTTTGAGTATGTGGCATATGCCACCTCAATTGGAGACGACAAGCCTGCCTCTCACACTACCTTCCTCAGGGTTGCTGGGAAGGTGCTCGGACCCCACGAACGGTCTGGTCTCTTGAAATTCAGAAAGCCAGGCGAACATTCAAAGTGTGATGTTTGTACTAGACTGAAGAAGGCGATGAGAGTGAAGCGTGGGCGTGGCTTGGATCCTGCAGACAAAGACTCAGCAATACGCGAGTATTCAACCCACGTTTTATCGCAGTGGCTGGACCGTCAGGTGTATTGGTCCATGAGGACTCTGAGTCAGAATTGGTTCCGTCAGCAAGCGCATGTCGGAGAAAGGTGCTTTTGGTTAGATTGAATTCAAACTGTCTATTTTTGGTTTGGCATTTGTAGAACTAAGGGTTTCCATTCTGTTTCATTTTAACAGGAGTTGGGTTCAGTCCAATGTTGATTAAAATGGCGACCCAGATTCCTGTGGGGTGTTCAATTCTGTCATATGGGGGTTTTAAGATAACAGACTTCCCCAAAAGCCGAGTGCTTCTCTCAGGATGTTACAGCAATCCATGGCCACCAATCTTTGCACCATCATGGCTGACTCCATGGACCAAGCAAAGTTCAAATGCCCGAGGATTCGGGATCTGAACTCCAAACTCCTGACCAGCCTCTTCAGACCCAGACTCCATTGCGGCGGCACTTGGTGCCATGGCCGTTCTTTGGCCCTGGCCATCAGCGATGAATGCCTTCCCAAGGATTCGGTGATCCAGATGGAGCAAGTCGCCCGAGTCTTGAATTCAGTTTATCAAGACTTCAACGGTCTCCCATTGGGGCTCAGCTATCACGCTGACAACACCTACAGGGAATCCAAGAATCGCCGCTTCTTGGCTTTTGCAATTCTCTTGGTGGCTTTGCGGGTCTTCCGCTTTTCAATGGCCAGCTTTTTGCGGGTCGGGCACAGATGCTTGTCAGTCAAGTAGGGGGGACCTTGTAAAGTTTTTCTGGTTTCCGGGTGCTTCGCCGCTGCCACTGCCCAATGGATGCAAGGTCACGAGGACTTGGATCAAGTTTTCTCAAGGCAGGCAGCGCTGATTGCCCGGCATACTTTCGACAATCCGCAGAAGCTGGTGGAAATCCTTGATTCTGCGACCAGGCCAGCTGAGGATGAGCAAGAGCAAGTGCGGGAACAGCGAGGTGCTCCCAGGATAAATTGCATTGCCTACAAATTGGACAAGGCTGCAGATTGGAAGAAGTGGACTTCCATGCTGGGGATACGATTGAAAGGTCTTCGCGCCTTGGGTTTGATTTCACTCAATTTTTGAGACCGGGTACTTTTTGCACAGCAGGGCGTGGAGATCTTATAGGGTTGTTTTTGGGCACTACTTGGAGCATTCACATCAGGCCGTGTGGGGCAGATTCGAATAAGCTTGCGCCGGGACATCGATGCTTCAAGTTATGGACACTGTGAGGTGCAGGAAATTAGGAATGCTGAGCAGAGTGGGGACGACCTTATTTTGCTCGCTAAGCGGTTCATGGCAGATTCTGAGCCTTTCCAAGTGGTCACACTAATGACTGCAGAGCAAGCAGCCACTCTTCGCCGGAGTTTTGCTCAGCCTGATGGCGACTGGAGCAGGCGGCCGATCTCTGACAAAGTCAAACGATCAATCCGCACGAAAGCTCCTTTGTGTGTCCAACAGGGCGTGATTTCTGTTGAGGCAGCTGCGTATCTGACAAATTGGGCTGAAGGCGCCATGCAGTGGCTGCCGCGGCCACAGTCTTATCAATTTCTCACTCACCGTGCATTTGGACAAGACCTGCCCGGCCGTATAGTCCCATGGGCCCCAGCCGGGAGAGAAAGGCACATAGACTTGACCGTGCGAGAGGATGATGAAGCTGATTCAGCATCAGATGATGCATACGCGCCCATCGAAGATGAGCAAGACAGTTGAACATTTACTGGCCTGCGGTGGCTCGCCAAAAAAAGCACTGGGTGGTCGCAGTCAGTTGACATAAGTCTAATTCAGCGATGTTTGTTTATCAGGTAGCGCACTATTTAGCCGGGCACTTTTAGAAAACGCTGCCTCAAGGTTTGAGGGTCAGGCAAAGTTAGTTCGGAACCAATTTTTCTTTCGTGCGACCTTCTTCTATATATATATATATTATATTATAGTTATATATATATATGATACTATATATGTATATGTATATATTCAGTTTCAACTTTCGCTGCTCCGTTTTGTGTCCAGGAGCCTGGGGGATGGCGAGCACCATGCTAGCGGCGCAGAGGGCGCTGGGGATGGTGGTGAGAGTGAGATGTTCTACGAAAGCGGTGATGAAGCTGTGATTCTCTGTTTCAATTTGTAATTTGAATCTAAAACATTTGCAACGGTTTGCGGATCAAGTTTATTGGTATTTTAGGATACACAGCTCAGAGGCTCGTAGTATTAAGTCCTTCTTGTTTCTCAGCCCGAGGAAGCAGTCTGCACCGCCACCGCTGGAAAGCAAGTCCCCTAGCTTGTTCGAAGCGTCCGATGACGAGCCACCACACAATGATGGTGGGCCTGATGTCCCTCATGTCAGTGTCAGCCAGAACGATGTCAGCACACAAGTCTTTGCAGACCGTGGCGTTGGGGTGGGCTCCTCAAATCGATTCATCATTTCAGCTGTTATTATTATGCGTTGTCGCATTTTTTCTTTCTCAAAGTTTTCTCACAACTATTGTCAGCAAGACCCTGCAATCAAGCCGACGTCAGGCGGACGCTTTCACCGAGTGGGTGTTTCGAACCCACGGAGACAGTGATTTGGTCCGAGCCTTTGTTGAGACAATGAACACTTTAAAGACTTCTCAATACGCCGATGGTGTACCCATTGGATCAATGTGTAGTGGATGGGGAGTTGCTGAAATGATTTTGGAGTGCCTCAACGACAAGCTCAACGAGCTGATGCCACACCTCCCGCAGGCAATTCTTTTTTGGACCATGTCATAGCTTTATAGCAGCAGAATGTAAAGCCAGTTTTTCACGTTGGACAACTTTGGCCAAAAGTTTCCATTCCAGGGTTGAACTTCATTCTTCACACCTGCAATCATTGCAGTTCTACCCGCTCTTCATGTGCGAGCGGGAGACGTGGAAGGCCAAGTGGTTGGCGCAGGCCTTTCCTAGTGTGAAGGCTGTGTTTTCCGACATGAAAGATCTTCACAAAAAGGAGGCCCATGATTTCATCAGTGACAAGAAGATGGCAGTGCCACCTGTTTCTAAGTTGCACAGGACCTGGACCAAGAGCGGTGATTAGTCTCTAGTTTCTTTGCCATGAAGCGAAACTTTTTGCTCAGTCCTGCACTCTGTTCAACATTTGCTGAGGTTGCAGGGCTGGTGGCTGGATACCCATGCAAGTCAATCAGCGGTCAGAACTCAGCTCCGCAGAGTTTCAGAAACAAAACGAGCTCAACCGGTAGTGGCTTTCGCGCCACGATTTCATACGTAGAGTCGGCGCCAGAGCTTCAATGGATACTCTTAGAGAACGTCCAACAGATGTTCCACACACGAGCCAAATTCAAGAACGAAGTTCCAATGGACATTCAGACCATTGAAATGGAGAAGAGAGGGTTCAAGGCGTGTTTCAGTCTTTTGCTCAACAGTTGTGACTACGGTCTGGCACAGTCCCGTGCTCGGGCGTGGGTGCTTTATGTTCGTGCCACAAAGATCAAGTTGCTTGATTGACAAGGCTTGAATTCATTCTGATGTTTTTTTCTATGATATGTCTTTTCTTTAGACAAATAATTTTCACTCTAAACTTTTAAACTCCAGGCCACCTCCTGTCAATGACCAGTGTTGATCTGAGGCCAAAGATCGAAGCTGAGTCTTTGGTCCGGACCTTGCAGATCCCGTCCGGCAAGCTTGGCTTGGAATGCTTTCTCAAATCGAGCGATGGCCTTCTCGGTGGCCCTAAGATGTCTAAAGGGCGTGAGGGGACGAAATGGCAAGACGCCTTTCAAGACCAGTGCAACAAATGGGGCAAAGTTATTTGTCGTTCAAGGTTCATTGAGTTTTCTATCGTGTAAAACTGGCTAGCAGGTATTTTGGTAGTCTTACAGTGACCAGTTGCATTTGCGGAGCCCATGCTTTTGTGAGGCTGTGATTGACAAGAACCTGCAGCGCCTTGAAGCACTGCTGAGCGCAAAGGAGGTGGTTCTGACATCCCGTGAGATGTCATTGTTGGCTGTGGCCATCACGGAAATGGTTTCTGCAGGGCTGAACCCTTGGGATGAGCAGTTCGTAATTCAAATAGTGGCTTGAGATTCCAATCAGATTGAAATTGTTTGCTTATTTGTTTATCGTATCCTTTTCCCAGTTTCTTCATCTGGCACGTGCGTGATCACATACTACCAATCCTCAGGATCAATCCTACGACCGACAGACTTGGCTGCGGAAGGCACCGCGCCTGGTACCGTGCCTTATCCCGAAGGGAAAGTACATCGTGACAGTGCGTTGGACTTTGCTATCTGCTAAGGACAGTTGTTGTTCGAGATTTGCAGGGGGTTGATTCAAGATTCATTCCGAATTTCTTATTGCAGGTTTAGGTATCAAACAGCGCTGTTGTTTTTGATGGAGTCAGGAGAAAGCCAGGCTGCAGGGAATTGGAGATAGTGAGTACCAGAAGTACAATATGCACTTGCTGACCGACTGCCGCCTCAGCGATCTGGTTGGGAACTCGTGGCTTGTTGGCCTTACTTTTGTCCTTCCTGTTTGGGGTTCTTGTTTGCATCTCGTTTTCGTGATTCTTCTTCCTCATGCTGTTTCTGATTTCTGCTTCAACACCTACTCAGCATCTCTTTTTCTCCTCATGCTTTTCACCTGTGCTACATTCTTCTCTTTTTTGATTTCCTCCGTTTGTGTCAAGTTGCGTTGTTCGTGGCTGATGTTGTTGCTGCTGCAGCATCTTATTCATGTGTTTGGGCGGTGATGACTTATTACTATCCGTGATTTTTCTTCGGTGAAGTTTGTGGCCTCTTCCTGCACACCCTGGCTTTTCTCTGTGCTTAGGTTCTCGTCTTCCGTCTTCTTGAGTTGCTTCATGGCTGCGATCGGAACATGGAGTCCATAACTTGGAGGGCGACCGACCATAATTCAGATGCTCCTTAGTCTTTTAGTTTGGTGTGATAGTTTGCTGTCTTTGTGTGTCTCCACGCAGAATGGCAATGGCCATGAATGTTTACTTCGGGGGTTCAGAGGGAAAGAAGGAGAGATCAGTCACATAGTGGCTATGCTGCGAGTTTCAATTTGCGCTGGTTTTGAATCATGCTCGCAACAATGGCTTCCTCCAAGTAGCCGCACTGAGACTTGTTTATTGTGCCTGAAACTTTGTCGTGTGTCCGTTGCCCTTTGGCGCCCAAAGGCGGATGGGTGTCTTTCGATCGACAAACGATCAAAAAGGCGCTGATTTCGGTGTTCATCATGCCTCCTCGCAAGAAAGCCCGCGCGCAGAATACCATCATGGCTGCCTTCAATGAGAGCAGCCAGGCCAACATGGGCTCAGTAAGCAACTTCCAAAAGGATGTTGCCCTGACTGTTGAGCTCATGTACAGCATGAGGCACGGGGTGGCTGAGGGCAACAAGCGCCCCTTTGATGACATGATGGGTGGGGTGGAGTCACCACCGAATTCTGGCGTTCCTCATCCGGATGAGAAGGGGGAGTACCCATGGCCTTTGTCCCATGGAGGGACCTTTTTAGACATGGTCCAGAGGGCCACCAGCAATGTGGATTGGTTTTTGGCGGAATCGTCCCAGATGTTGTTCGCTGCTGGCATTACTGAGTCTGAAGACCCATGTGCGTTTAAGCAGCTGTTCACTACGCTTGATGTAGCTTGGCACCGAGATTGTATCAACTTGTGGTTAAAGACTTTACGGACGACTTTAAGTAAGTCGTCGTTGCCCCTTTCTTGAGGTTTGCCCAGATTTTCTTTTGGTAGGGCCCAATGCCTACTAAGCCCAGCAAATTAGCCGATGTTGAGCTTTCGTTTGCCCAGGAGTGGCCACCAATCCCGGGCAAGCTTTTCGAGACCAGCATCATGTGCTGGAGCTATCAGGACGAGAGCTTTTGGAGAGGAAAATCGATTTCGATGGCTGAAGTGATTTCCTATGCAAAGTCCATGGCGCTGACACGGTTCAAGGAGGTGCGCCCCCCCCCCCCCGTGCGCGTCGGCGTGGCCCGGATTCAATTTGTGTTGTTTTGTAAAGTTTAAAAACGCATACCCGTTGCAAGCTATTTCACTCTGTCCCAATCAGGTTTTGACAAAAAAACCCTTTTTTTTGAAATTTTGAAAAATCCAAAAAATTTGGGTGCGGCATGGACATTAAGGGGGGGGCTCGCTGGGGGGTTGAGAAAAAATTACGCTGATGATTCCACCACACTCTTTTTTTGAGCTTAGTATCATCATATTTGGCACAATCCCAGTAGATATTGGTGAATTTTAAATCCAAAGGCTGGTGGCCAAATATATCTCCAAAGCCCATGCTCACTAAGGGCAACATTTTGGAGAGTCGATATGGTATCAGCTCTCCATACCAAATGGCTAGCTAGAACCCACTGGCCCCTCCCTGTGACTAATTATCTCTGAGGGCTGGGCAGGCCTCAGTGAGCCACCATTTGATTTGGAGAGCTGATACCATATCAGCTCTCCATGTGTGAGGGTTTAACAAGTATCCATTTTGGAGAGATATCCACCCTCCTGGAAATTCACAGAAAATTTCCTGGAGACTGATACAGTATTCATGTTTTTTTTGGCGAGATATTTGTAAATATCTCTCCAAAATGTTTTGTGATCGCCAACATTTGGCGAGATATCTGGAAATAACTCTCCAAAACTTTCTTGCTAGCCAAGTTTTGGAGAGTTATCTGGAAATATCTCGCCAAAATGTTTCTATGATAGCCATAATTTGGCAAGCTATCTGGATATAACTCTCCAAAAATTTTCTATGACAGCCAAATTTTGGAGAGTTATCTGGAAATATCTCGCCAAAATTTCCAAAAATCTCTATGTTAAATGTTGGGGAGTATTCAGAAAATAAAATATAGTGCCATTATATATTATCCAAACCCAGAATAATATGGATAGAGCTTTGGGTGCATATTCCAAAGTTCTCTTTTTGGCCCCAACATGTGTTTTGAAATAGCCAGACTTTTGGATAGCGCATCAGAGTGTAAAGTAGAACTAGCAATATTCCTCTTGGGCTGGCCAGGGCCGGGGCCATGATGCAAGCCCAAATCGGTGTTCATCCGGGCCTCAATAGCACTAAGGCCTGGCCACAGGATGAACACTGATTTGGGGCCCCGCCCCTGGCCAACCCACCAGGAGCTGCAGCATCTTGCCAAGTTGTTTTTAAAATTTTACTTTTTGTATATAGCCAGACTTGCGATTCTTTCAATATGATCTTGAAATTTGCACGACAGCCACATTTGGCGCCGGTTCCGGTTTTTGAAGCGCGTAATGGTAGGCTTAGGGTTAGGTAAGGTCCCTGTTTTGAAGCGCAAAGGGTGACCGACTGACGGGCTTGGGCGGCGCTTTACTTTCATGTCTCATCGACTCTCTTTTCACA